TGAAAAATTCCAGTAGATTTGTCAAACACAATTTCCCTTTTGTAAATCCATGCTGACTGATCCTGTCACTGTTTTTCAAGTGCTCTGCTGTTAAATGTTTTATAGTGGACACTCGTATTTCCCCGTTACCAATGTCAGGCTAACCGGTCTGTATGTTTTCTGGTTACCTCCTTTACTAAATAGCGGGGTTATATTAGCTAGCCTCCAATCCACAGGAAACGTTCCAGAGTCTGTAAAATCTTGAAAGATGACCACCTTTGCATCCATTACTTCGAGGGCTACTTCTATTAGTACTCGATGTAGATTATACGTGTTTGAGAATTTATCAGCCTTTAATCCCATCAATTTGCCCAACACCATTTTCCTAATACCGATTTCCTTCCTCCCACTCACTCACTGAACTCTGATGCCTAACATCTTTTGAACGTCCTTCTGAAGGGGCGAGACCCAAAACGTCAGTTTTCCTACTCCTCTGATGCTGCTTGGCCTGCTGTGTTCATCCAGCTCTACACCTTGTTGTCTCAGATTCTCCAGCATCAGCAGTTCCTACTATCTGACATTTTCTAGTAATACCCCAGTCATTAGAAGTCACTTGGGATGGCCTTAGGATGTGGCAAGGTGATATATATGTGCATTTTCTTTTAATTTCCACAGTAATTATTTTATTGTCTCCAGTGATCTCCTTTGGCCCAGTAACTTAAAAATATCCCAGCACATCATCGTTAGCACGAAAAGTGCCTTGAAATGATAAATACAAACTTAAATTTGCACTTGCTGCTGTGCTACAATACAATACTTAAGGTATTGTAGTTACTATGATAATTGACTAGCTATGCATAAAGTTCTACTTTCACAGGAATCGTCAATCTGCTCAAGTTCTCCGAATTGATTTTATGGTTCAATTTCCAGGTCAAGGTCATTTTTGTAATCAAAAACATAAAATTTTAGATGAGTGCAATTGGACAGTGTTTCAGAACAGCCATAATTTTCTTTCATTAAGAATATTCTTTGATGTATTTAAGAATTATAATTTCTCAAATTTATAAAACCATATTTATTAATATACAAACACACAAGTTAGAAGTAGTAGGCCAATCAGCCTCTCATGCTTGCTCTGTCAATTAGATTATACTTAACCTAACAGTAACCTCAAATCCACATTCCCATCTACAGGAGATAACATCTCACCCTTTCTTAATGAGATTGTACCTACATCTACCTGGAAAAAGATTTTAGGACTCACGAGAGGTGCCGGGGAGTGGAGAACACCCATGTGGTGCAGTTATTCAAAACAGAGCAAAGAATAAACCAGAAAAGTATAGGCCAATCAGTACAAACTCAATGATGGGGAAACTATTGGAAGCAATTCTGAGGGACAGAAGAATTAATCTGCATTCGGAGAGGCAGGGATTAATCAAGAACAGTCAGCATGGTTTTGTTAAGGGGAGGTCCTATCTGACCAACTTGATATAAGTTTTCAAAGAAGTGACCAGGTGTACAGACAAGTGCAATAGATTTGGTGTAGTCTACTTTGGCTTCAGCCTGACTTTTGATAAGGTCCTACATGGGAGACCAACAAGGAAGATAAGAGCCAGTCGGAATGAAGGAAATATGGCTGATTGATCCAGAATTGGCTGAGTAGCAGCAAGCAGAGGGTGATGGGTGAGGGCTGTCATCATGACTGAAAACCCATGGCCAGTGGGATTCCACCGGGATCTGTGTTGGGTTGATATAGATGGGCAAGTCAGATAGCAAATGGAATTCAATGACGATAAGTGTGAGGTGATGCACTTGGGCAGGACAAACAAGGCAAGTGAATACATGATGAACAGTATGACCCTCAGAAGTACCAAGGATCATCCAGACCTCGATGTACATGTCCACTAGTCCCTAAAAATCACAGGTCAGGTTGATAAAGTGGCTAAGGTGTCATACGGGATACTTGGCTTTATTAGCTGAGGCATAGAGCGGTTACACGAACTATTCAAAAACGTTGCTTCTGCTACAGCAGTATGTGTGCGCAGTTCTGGAATCCACTGGACAGGATGCAGAGGAGATTGACGAGGATGTTGCATGGGCTCGAGAGTTTTATTTAAGAGAGATCGGATAAAGTGGGATTGTATTCTTGGAGCAGAGGGACGTGATTGAGATGTATAAAATTATGGAGGGACATAAACAGATTATACGAGAAGGAACATCTCTCCTTAGTGGAGGAATCAATAATCAAGGGTATAGTTAAAAGGTCAGGGTCAGGAGGTTTAGGAGGTTTAGAGCAGATGTGAAGGAAATATCGTGTTGGGAATCTGAAACTCACTGCCTGTAAGGGTGGTAGAGGCAGAAACCCTCAAAACATTTGATGTGCATGTGATGCCAAGGCATATAGTGCTGTTGGCCTAGTGCTGGAAAAAGGGATTAGAATAGTTTATTTTCTGAAGGGTCTAGGCCCGAAACATCAGCCTTCCTGCTCCTCTGATGCTGCTTGGCCTGCTGTGTTCATCCAGCTCTACACCTTGTTATTCTCAAGATTCTCCAGAATCTGCAGTTCCTACTATCCCAGAATAGTTATGTTGTTGCTTTTGACTGGAACAGACTTTATGGGCGTAAAGGCCTCTTTTGTCTACTGCAGACTTCTCTGACTCTACTTACACTACCTTCTTAGGGAGAGATTTTCAGGGACTCACGACTCAGAGTCTCAATGCTGTTTTGAAAGGGTGACCCCTGAGCTTCACACAGTCACTCCTAGTTATAAATTCTCTCGTAAGAGGAAACATTCTCCCTATATCCACCATGTCAACACCCCTCAGCATGTTATGCGTTTTAATCAAGTCCTTCATTTCTTCTAAACCTTAGTGCATGCAAGCCTAGCCTATAAACCTTTTCTCATAAGAGAAACCTTCCATTCCAGGTATTAACTTGGTAAATTGCCTCTGAACAGCCTCTAATTCATTTACATTCTTCTTTAAAAAAGATTCCCAATATTGGACCAGTACGCAAGATGTAGTCTAACCAGTGTACTGCAGAACTGAAGCACAACCTCCTGACTTTTGTATTCAATTTCCCTCACGATAAATTGTAACATGCAATTCTTAATGACTTGGTGTATCTTCACATTAACCTTTTGCTAATCATACATGGGGCCACCCAGATCACCTTGCATCATTTTGAGGTTTTATTCTTCTTGACCAAATCGACACTGTTGCATTTTACCACATTCTTGCCCACTCACCCAACCTACATACAGTTTCGTGTAGCCTCCTTAGGACATCTTCACAACTTATTCTCCTACCTATGATTGTGTCATCAGCAAATTTGGCAACCGTACCTTGGGTGCCTTAATGCAAGTCATTTATATAAATTGTAAACAGTTGAGGTCCCAGCATCAATTCCTAAGGTTTCATCATTCCTGTTTATACATACTGTCTGCCTCCTGTTAGCCAACCAGTCTTCTACCTATGCGAATAGGTTACCGTCTACAGTGAGCTTGTATTTTCTGCAATAACTGATCATGTGATACCTTATCAAATATCTTCTGGAAATCTTAAGTGCTGCACATCTGTTGGCTTCCCTTTATCCAATCATGCATTAACTGTTCAAAGAAATCCAAGAAGTTGGTCAAACATGATTTCCCTTTCACAAAATCATATTGCCTCTGCCTGATTATTCTTGAACTTATCCAAATACTCTGCTATAACGTTTTGTGATAGCTTCTATCATTTTCCCTATGACAGATGTTAATCTGATTGGTTTGTAATTTCCTGTTTTCCGTCTCACTTTGTCTGAAATAATTAATACAGCTGAAAATGAATTTGTCACCAAACTAAATATTTTTAAGTATCCATTCTACCATCCATGAATAGCCCAACTTTAAATAACAAAGTTACTTTTAAAAATTGTCATATAGCTTTTTTAAGTTTCATTGATGTTCCACATGTTGGTATATGGGATGGGCCTGCTTCCTGCTTCTATTCTTGCTGCTCCCTCTCCTTATGTACATACTGCCTTTTACTAACAACATCCGAAGGCATGGAACCAGCTTCCACGTGAATGATGGTACACAACTTTAAAACTCTATTACCCTCACTGCGTCTGCATTGTCAGACTGCCTATCCAACATCCAATCTTGGACCTTCACCAGTCAGAAATAAAGTGTGTGTCTTTACATTATTGCCGCTGCAACATTCGGACAACCCAAGTACTCTACAGACAATCAAGCTGTTTTTGAAGTGTGGTCACAATTGTAACATAGGAACCATGGCTACCAATGTGTGCAGAGCAAGAATCACAAACAAATGTGGTAAGAAGCAGTTAATTTAGTTTTCTACGTTGCTTCAGGGGTGAACATTAACTCTTCTTAGAAAAAATACCAAAGGATATTTAAACCCCCACCTGATACGGGGCCTTGATTTAACATGGCATCTCTGATAATGCAGCACTGCCCGAGTTCTATATTGGTGCAACAACCTACATTTTCTTGAGTGGGACCTGAACCCAGTATGTTCTGACTCAGAGGCGAGTGTGCTAATACTGAGCTATATCTGGGACATAAACATTAAGAAGATTAAACCCAGTTTCTTCAAACCCCAACATGAATTCTGTACCTTTGCTGCCATTTATGTTTCCAATGTAGCCACTGTCTCAATAACCTGGGTAGATGACCCAATAACCTGGGTAAAGCCATGGATTTCTTGAGGGGCTTAGGGACAGAATCAGGCTGCACTTTTTGAATTCCTAATCAGCCTCCATCTATTCTTGTGGGGGAACTTTATCTATGGTTTCAATCATCATTATAAATATGGCAGGGCAGTCATAACATAGGATCTTGATTCTTGAGATCCTCATTTCCCATTCAATCCTGTCCTGGCCATCCAGGGAGCATGTAAAAAGCTGTGTCTGGGGATTAATGTGCTAGTATGACAACATGCACCTCAAATACTATTAACAGATAATATCAATGCACTGTTATAAAATGATCTTTAGTTGGAACCTCCCACAAATCCTACCTCCTGTTCCTGTTGTGATACAGAATTTTCATATCAAATCCTTTGGCTCTTTGAGCAACTTTGTATCCAATCCGTCCCATTCCAATGATCCCAAGAGTAGCTCCAGTCACCTCGGCTCCGTACCAATTCAAAGGATAAATTTTAGTGTCTGGAGAAGTTGAAATCTGCTGACCTAAAATTTTAAAATCAAGGTAGACAGGAGCAATTGGTGTGTTGAATAGCTAACAAATAAATATTTTTCATAAATGAAAACAGAAACTGAGAAATATTCAGCAGGTCACACACCTGTGGAGAGAGGAACAGAGTTAGCATTTCAGAGTTAACGTTCCAACAGAATGCTTTTCAGAAGCTGGAAGAAGGTGAATATTGAAGGCCAATATTGTACAAACATCCCTCCTAGTCTGGCAACAAATTGGCCAACAGTCTGTTGCAATGCCACCACAGTGCTCTTTGGACTTAATTAACTTTTATACCTGTAGCAACTAAATTAAGAAGGCAAATGCAAATCTTCAGCACTGTAGCATCAACAAACTGCATCCTCCAAACATAAGCTGGCATTAGATGAACACCAAGGAAGACATGTGTACAATAATCTGATATTACTAATCTATAACCTGCAGGTAGTCATGCTAACTAAACATCAATTTTCAGTAACTCTTAGGGGCTTATGTAAAGGCTTTCCCTTTATAATCTATGCATTATAAATGCCTACTGCATGGGTAAAGTACCACATCCAGAAGAGAAACAATTGGATTTGTCAAATATAGTGACCCCATATGCTAAGATGTCCAGTCTGAGTGAACTGCCTCTTTAAATTCAAGTCAATTCTATTGAATTCAGTTTTGAGATATTATCTTTATGAAAACAGGAACTTTAAGAAGTGAATAATTTTAATCAGATAAGCGACCCAATGTTTTCATGTTTACATATTTTTACATGGTACATTTCTTCTCCTGTCATGAAGGCTTTGTAACTTACTGTAATTCTACAATATCATTTTAAAAAGCATTTACCTATAAAAAAAATTTATGCCACGTAGGAATTCACAATTTATCAACAAAGCCTGTAAGAAATACTGAAAGCAGATGATAAATTATAGCAATGAATGCAGATTTAAGATTTTTTTTAACAATAAATGGGCTGGATTATTCAGAGGGCAAGCTCTTTGCAATGTAAATGCTGACAGTGAGATTGGACATGGCTAAATTGCCCTGCTTTTACAGCCTGTAGATCTTTGATTATTACACCCGATACACTGCCTCTTTCCAAGAAGATGTCTCAGAGTGGTCAACCAGTGAAGGCCAGGAGCTCAACAGTGCTGTGGGTGTCGTCCATTGTGGTGGGCATTGCCAGTACTGCAGCCAGGCAAGGAGAAAATGTTCAGTGACGGATACTGACTTCCAGGCATTTCAGGCAGGCCCTGGTGTGTGTGTACAGAGGTGGGGTCTTGACTAATAAGGTCCAGGGGAAAGGTGGATGTGAGGAGGGAAAACTGTCTTAGGTGGAAGGGCCTCCAATTGGCACCAGGGACCAGTAAAAGAAGCATCTTTCCTTTCACCTCCAGCAACCTGCAGGGTCAAAGCTGCCAGGCTGCAGTTTGGGCCACAGGTCTTTTCCTGCAATTGGAGCAGTGGCTGGATGAGACCCTTTTATGCGGCATAAGCTGCTCACTTAACTGGGCTCTAAGCAGGACAGCTGCTCTCAAACCTTGCAGTGCAGACTTCAGTGGGGTTATGAGGAAATGGAGATTGCTGCATTCCCACCCTGCACCCTCCCAACCAGTCAAACAACAGTTTGCTTCAGATGTTGCAACCTGGAAGGACATTAAATTCGGCCTTTTGCATGAATTAGAGAATCAGAATTGTTACGCAGCCAGGAGGCAGCTTTTTGGCTGATTGGATCTGGACCAGCTCACTGATCGAGTATTAGGACTTACTGCCATTCTCTTTGCCTTTTCCCGTAACCTCATTTATTGTTTTTATGTAAATAATCATCTAAACCTTGCTTCAATTGAAACTGACCACACTACCAGGCAGTGCACTCCTGACCCTCAATTTACTGTATGAAAAAGCTTTTACCTCACAGCACATTTGGTTCTTTTGTAAATTATATTATATCTGTGACATCTCATTTTGATCCTTTTAGGAGAATGAAATTTTTCACAATTGACATTTGTAACTTTTGAAAACTTATCAAATCTTGTTTAAGTCTTCTCTTTTCCAAGGACAACAGTTCCAACTTCACCAGTCTGTCTTCATAACTGAAGTTTCCTGTCCCTGCAAACATCCTTGTAAAACTCTTCTGCACACTTTCCAATGTATTTAACATCCTTCTTGAAGTGAGATGCTGGGAACTGTAGACAGTTCTCCATCCGAAGTCGGACTCCTCATCTTATAGAACTTAAGCATTATTTGCTATAAACTGGAGACTAGGAGGTGTAAGGATGAGTAATCCTACTTCCAACAAATCAGTTCTTTCTCATTTAACTATAAATTGGATATATAAGGGATGAGTAAAAATGAGGAATTTCTACAGGGTGAAAATGCGAAAAAAGCTAAAGGAGCACCTCCTTCCACTAACTCCATCAATTCAGCATTCCGTTCAAATTGCACTGAGATGTAGTGTGTAATAGTTCTGAAACCAAACAGATAGCTGAGCCCCAGTTACCAAAAAAGATTCAAACCAGCTTCCTTAATTTACTAACCTAGCAGTCCTACAGTGGATAATTTGCATACCTCTGCCTAACTCCAGTCCCTGAAATTTACACAGTAACTTTCAGTTAAATGTTAGATTTCAGCAAGTTTAGATTTTCAAAAACAGACTAAAAAATTTCCTCAACTCACCAACTCTAGCACTGACCAGTCGTGCTCAAAAACAGATGAGGAAAAAAACTTTTGAACAGCCATTAAGTGCAGTTAGTCTACATGACAGTGTGTTTCTGTGGTGCACAATTTAATAATTTCAACCTGTATTTTCTGATTAATATATATGTTAATTTTAATGTTTATTAAAATATGCTCTACTCCTTCCTTGGTTTTGAAGCTCTAAGTTATAGATTCCATATCATCTGATGTCCGTTTTGCCAAAATAGTTGGCATTTTCAGCCCTTATCTTACCTTCCAATATATTCCTGGCAGATGCCAACATTAGGGTCATGCCCATTTCAGCAGTAGCATTGTCCACCACATGAGGAGTGTTGGCCACCTTCACACCGAAACTGTGGATCAGGGATAAGTCAAGATGGTCCACACCAACTCCATGATTTACAATGGCCTTCAAACATGGTAGAGATTTCAGAAGCTTTTCATTTATTGTGGGACAATATTCCCATTCAAAAATAACTTGGATTTTATCAGCAAGTTCTTTTTCATTTTTCAGGAATTCTTCACAGCAGATGATTTTGAAATGTTTCTTGATGAGTTCTGCAAACCTTGCTGGGATACCATGTGTATCACTTACTGTAGAAATTAAAGCATGAGCCTGATCATTCATTGTCTGTGGGGGAGCAGAAATAAAAGATGTTATTCTGTAAATTAGTTGGTTATATTGCTAGATTTTCTTCTCAATTCTTCACTTCTATTGCATCATGCAGGCAGAGCACTAAACTGAATTGACCCACCAACATGTTGAAACCTCCTGGACATACAGAAACAGGTTTAGAGTCAAGTCAAGGACAAAATGGAAATCTGCATTTCTGGATGGAACAATCCCACACAAGCTCTCTTGCAAGAGGTGGCATCATTGTCACAGAGGCCATACTCTTGGTAGGTCAATGCAAGGACCAGTTGCAGTAATGTTCTTGAAAACTCTGGGATCTAACCACTAACAAGCACCCCTGCACCTCACCCTGTTGTGTAGGAAGGCCAAATGCAGCTTAAAGGCAGCCTTCTGGCAACAAGCTGGATCATTGTAAAGACTTCCCATCAATTACTGAGAAGATGCCACCAAACTTCAAAAGACAGAACCTCGAGCTGCAGGACTTGCATTTTTAAAAATATTAGACAGGCTCCGAGTGCCTCCATCTTGAGACACCCTCACTTCCCTAACTACTTCAACAACTCCACCTCTGCCAATGGAATTTCCATTTCCCAGTGCTGCAAATCTAATTCTTAAAGTGTCTCCTGCCTTGGGGGCCCGCCCATCTTCTTTCACTGAATAGTGAATTTGGAGGCAGCCTATTTATTTTCCACCTCCTCGAAGATTCCAACTGTCAGATATCCCTGACCTGGACAGGGATGGGGCTCAGAAATGGATTTGATTTATGAAACTTTACAATAGGCAGGAGATTCCACCCAACATGTGTCATTTGGTGACCAATTTGCTGAATTCATGACACATGGAATGAGTTAGCTAAGTCAGCTTCTTGATAATGAAAAAGAAAATTTCCCATGAATATACTGCTCAGCAGGCATCTGGATTTAGCTAACTCATCCGAAGCTAACTTTGGAAAATAAGGATTGTGCTTAAACTTGTGGTTTCAAAAAAAAAAAAAAAATAAAGCTGAACATAGAACATAACAGCGCAGTACAGGCCCTTCGGCCCTCGATGTTGCGCCGACCTGTGAAACCAATCTGAAGCCCATCTAACCTAAACTATTCCATTATCATCCATATGTTTATCCAATGACCATTTAAATGCCCTTAAAGTGGACGAGTCTACTATTTTTGCAGGCAGGGCATTCCACGCCCTTACTACTCTGAGTAAAGAACCTACCTCTGACATCTGTCCTATATCTATCACCCCTCAACTTAAAGCTATGTCCCCTCGTGCTAGCCATCACCATCCGAGGAAAAAGGCTCCCACTGTGCACCCTATCTAATCCTCTGATCATCTTGTATGTCTCTATCAAGTCACCTCTTAACCTTCTTCTCTCTAACAAAAACAGCCTCAAGACCCTCAGCCTTTCCTCACAAGACCTTCCCTCCATACCAGGCAACATCCTGGTAAATCTCCTCTGCACCCTTTCCAATGCTTCCACATCCTTCCTATAATGCGGTGACCAGAACTGTACGCAATACTTCAAGTGCGGCCGCACCAGAGTTTTGTACAGCTGCAACATGACCTCATGGCTCTGAAACTCAATCCCTCTACCAATAAAACCTAACATACTGTATGCCTTCTTAACAACGCTATCAACCTGGGTGGCAACTTTCAGTGATCTATGCACATGGAAAACGGGATCTCTATGAATGGTTCATCTCTCTGGTATACTATTCATCCTTAAGTGTGACTGTTTCTGAAATTGGGACCGTTCTCATTGGAGAGAAGAATGTTGACAGGAGATTTGATCCATATTTTAAAATTAATGAGTGCATTGGACAGAGTATATAGGGAGAAGTTGCCATTTCTAATATAGAAAAGAATAAGGCAGCATAAAATGAAAGTGAAATTCAAATGAAAGCATGCATGAGAAAAATCTTTCATGCAATAAGTAGTTATACAGTCATACAGCATGCAAACACACCCTTCGGTCCAACTTGTCATCACCAGCATAGTGCCATTTGCCAGCATTTGGGCCATATCCGTTTAAACCCTTTCTATTCATATACCAATCCAGATGCCTTTTAAGTGTTGCTTTTGTACCTGCCTCTACCACTTCCTCCGGAATGCACCATCTGAAATTGTGGTGCAGACAGGTTCAACGGAGGCATTCAAGAGAGCACTGAATGATTATTTGGATAGATATGATGTGCAGCGATATAGGGAAGTGACAGGAGATTGGCACCAGGTAATAGAACTAATGCAGGCACAATGGGCTGAGTGGCCACCTTCTATGCTATGAGAATTCTGTGCTTTTTCTTAAAAATGAGTGCAAAAACTTTGCAGTTCACAACATACACTTTGTCCAATATACATATTTGATGATGAGGACCAGTTCATGACAAATGAAGGGCTGACTGAATATGGACAAAGTGATAAAGATACAGGACAAGGTTCCTTGCTTTGTCAGACAACAACAAGTTTGCACCAAATGTCAGAATGAGTCAGGGATAGCGACAGCGGGCTTTGACTAAATGCATAAGATGAGGGATGGGAAACAAGGCGTATGGTTTTCTGTTAACGTCACTATCAAATGAGTAAATTGGGGATTTTTACATATCTTGATTAAGAACATTAAGCTTTTTTGACAACGTCAAGGTAACAACTGAGGTTTTGTGCTTAAACTCCTACTCAATAAATCTGTTCCAGATGGGCTTAATGACTATTCAATCCACACCTCATTATACCATCAAATGAGAATTATACTCTGTTTATAAAGCCAGGGCTTCCTCATGTCATTTTCCAGGCCTATCATCTGCCCTTCAAAAATTTCTGAGACACTCTCAGGGCTTTTTAATAAAGGTTGCTTCAGATCATGCAGACTTTTGATAACAGGACTAAAGAGAAACTGTTTTTGCTGGCTAAAGGAAAGGTAACCAGAGCACACGGAGTAAGGATATTGGCAAAAGATAGCACAAGAACCCTATTTTTATGCAGCAATTTACAAACTAAGCATCATGGTGCTTCAGCATTGTGGTGGGTCTAGCCCAGGATTTCAATGCGGGGTTGGGTCCTCATTCCCAGAGCCATGAAATGGACTTTGGTCTTAAGTTCTCTTTTTATAAATTTAATTATTATGTGGAAGGACTGTTATTCAGAACTTATTTATTTTCCTACTTGATTACTATGATTTTGTACTTTAAGGTCTGGAACGCTGGACTCCTCATTTTTCTAAGTTTTTTTCTTAAGAATTTGTTCTCAAGAGTCTGTACCTTGGTACCTGAGGTGGCGCCGTATGTGGCGACTTGTAAACTTTCATTCCACTCATGTCAGTACATGTGACAATAAATCTAATTCAATTACCATTCCATTCCCATTCCACATTTCATTGCTCTCCACATCAACTCATGACAAGATTAAGTAATACTAATAATCCCATGGTCCCTTACACCAGCCATTTTGCAGTGAACAGTAAGCAAGATTATTGCTAGTGAAGAAAATCACAAAAGAAAGTAGACATTTGTTTTGTCTCCAGAAATGGCAAAGTTGATGAAGACAAATTGACAAAAATGCCAATGTTTCAATATGATAAAGGACATTATTGGTGCTGAATTAGGGCTAAAATGCAGGGCAAGTTTTTTTCTTTCCATTAGAGTAAGGCAAGACCTGTTGGTTGAGAAGAAAGCTCAAACAATTATCAACTGACACCATTAATCATTTAAAAACAGTCCTTGATCCAACTGTCTTCAGCTGTTTCACCAATGACTTTCCCTTCATAAGGGTATCGTCAGCAGAAAATGTTCAGCACCATTCATGAGTCTGCAGATACTGAAGCAACCCAAACCATATGCAACAAAGACAACTGGCAGGCTTGAGCTGCTAAGTAGCAAGTACTTGCTACGTACAAATGACAATGACCATCTACAAGAATGAGCATTACACTAATGAGAATTTTAACTGGATCAGCCATAAATACAGTAAGAATCCTCGAGTGAGTGACTCCCCAAAGCTTATTCACCATCTATGAAGCACAAATCAGAAGGGTGATGGAATACTCTCCACTTGTCTGATAGGTGTAGCTCCAACAATGATCTCAAGAAGCTTAAAATGTCTAAGGTTGTAAAGATCTGAAAGGATAAATGCGGAGGAATGCACTAAACATTGTCCAATATGCTGTCTCATTAACTTGGGCAGTGAACAGCTTCAGATCTCCAGCGAGTAAGACCCAGCATTGAAGTCTCCCCCATTGTGACTTAGACTGTCTATTATCCCAATGTAACTTGTATCTATTGTAACAATGTAATAAGCTTCTTCTTTCTGACAGCCTTTTGTCAGAGAACACATGGTCTTCCTCTCTCGCTAGATCAACTCGACCTTCAATCTCGCTACCACGAAAGAGGGATGGTGGTAGCAAATTCACCTGATGGATCTTATAACATGACTTGTGGTGAGGACTCACCACATGGTAGCAAGTGGCACATTCAAAACATTGGCATCCATGGAGATTCTTCAGAAGGCTACTTGTATAGACAGTCTGGAGTTGAACATTTTGTGCAATGAGAACCTCTCAGCAGGATTCTGCCTTGCCAAGTAACTTCAGGCGTCGTAAGAGATTGCTCTGCAACAGCAGAGTGTTCAGAACTCCCGAGAGCGAGTTACTCCGGGGGCAGTTATGGATTGCATCAGTGCTGGATAGTGATCACACATCAGATCCTCAGAACTTTTTTTTATATATTCATGGCGGCAAAAGGAAGCTTGAAACAAAACAGCACAACTTACAGGCTGGGAAAGTACTTGCAGCTCAGATTGAATGCGGGGATCATTGGACATGGCTACAGTCAGGAAAATAATTGGTCATAAAAACTATTTTAAAAAGAAGCTGAGAAAGTCTAAGTCAGAAACAAAGCAATCTAGAGGCAAATTAGAAACCTAAGCAGACAAAACCAGACTTTTTTAAAAAAGGACACTATTGAGGCCACAGAGGCAGCAGATCTACTATTTAATGTGTTATAAAG